CCGCTCGGAGCACGAGAACAATGCGCTCAGCTGCCTCAGAGCCTCGTCGCTGAGCATGCGCACGTGGCGGGGGTGGAAGGCGTCGAGGCTCTGGGCAGTGTGCGTCGAAAAAGAGCTCGCGGCAGAGCGTAGCTGGGCAACCGTGAGTGGCGCAAGGCACTCGCGATCGGGAATCCATGCTTCGGGCGGTTCTACGGTCGCGTGCCAAAATCTTCCCAACTGCAAAGCCTCCTTCTCTAGTACAGCGAAGGGCGCAGAAGTGAAGTGGCCAGGAACAACGTTGGTGACTGTGGGCTGCCACAGCTTCTTGATGCGAGTGAGGCGATGCATGCGCCGGGCAGAGCCGCTCAGCGCAGAAAGCTGCCATTCGCGCCACGACGCGTCTCGAGTCTTGGTTAGGGCAGCTTGCACCTCTTCACACTCCTCCGACAACTCAGCATGCAACGTACGAGCCGCCTCCCTCTGTGAGGGATCCCACGGATGCTGGGGAGACCAGGAGGTGAGGAGGGTACGTAAGGAGGCAAGCGATCGATCAAGCCTGACACAAAGACCCTCACCAGCATGTGGGGTGCGCATGGCCAAGAGGTGGTGATAACCTTCACCCGATTGCCAATCCACACCGTCATGGCCAGTTAAATTTACAAATTCGTGGAACATGTCCACCATCCACTGCCAGCGCTGAGCAACAAGCGTCACGTCATCGGGACGGCGTTGGCGGTGGATGATTGGTTCCCAAACTGCCTGGACACGAGACCCCCGTAGGCCCATGCGCTCGGGAGGGAGGTCACACAGATCAAAGAGCTCTTGCTCCGCACGGTCAGCAAAGAGAGCCCAAACCTCATTCAGGAGTGCCCATGCTTCCTGGGAGGAACCGTGCAACGACAAAACCTCGAGCTGGGGCAGAAGGCGCCCCGGCACCTGCCAATCTGGAGGTGCTCTGGCGCATCCGATCGGCTGCTCAACGGGGATGCGGCGCTGGCTGCGGAAAACAAGCTGGCGCACCTGCAGCACATCGGCACGAAACAGCAGCATTGCAGGCCTATGGGGCTTAACATGCCATGCGCTATCGACAACAATGTTCTCCACGGCCCTACACAACGCGTGTCCAACTAAAAAGTAATCCATTGTTGACGACGTAGTGGCAGCGCGGCACGTGAACATGGGCGGCGCCAGGATGGACATCTGCATGCGCTGCGGCAGTCCCGAAGCCTCCAGCAGGTCTGGGGACATGTTCCAATCTGCTGCTACGAATGTGCGGTCCTTGTCAGAAATCGTCGCTCCAATGGCGCTCATCAGTGCCACGTTCCGCGCGCTCAGGCCTTCGCTCACATGGAAATAAGCACAAACAATGTTGAACGACAAACTGGGTGTGTCCACGGTGACCTGGATGGCCCTGTGGGGGACAATGGCCTGGCAGCACGGGTCAGTCCACCGCAGGCCCAGCCCCGACCGCACGAAAACGGCAACACCAGCCGAGCACCTGTTCGTGTCGGGATTGAATTCGGAGGCGCTGATCAGGAACTTCCAGCCCAGAGCCCGCGCAGCATCGAGGGACTGGGCAGCGCTAAGCTCGGAGAGGCCGATCTCCTGAGCGCACACGATCACCGAGCTGGTGGTCGCAAGCCGCTCCTTGAGCGAGCGCCAACCAGAACCATTGAATGTCTCCACGTACTTCCCGTCAAAGGCCAAGGAGTCTGAAGCCGCCATTGGCGGACATGCCGGCGGGATCGGAACTCTCATGCACGATAGTGGCAGCCCACAAACACGAGGGTGCACAGACACACCCGTGCGCACGTCACCCACACCGCGGCTTCTTGGCCCTGATGCCCTTCTCTTCGAGAAAGGCCTGCAACCCACGCTTGTCGCCTTGCTGGGCTTTGGCGATAAGCTCATCCACGTCAGCCTCCTGAACATCCATGAACTCGTCCTGATTCTCAGGAGGTGCGGCGGGTGCAGGACCACCAGCGCCACCGTGCTGCTGTCGAGCCGACTCTGGCGCCACGGTCTCAGCACCAGCCGGTTGAGGAGGCGCAGCCGCCTCAGGGGCCGCTGACGCAGCGGCTTGGCATTCCTCCCACAGCTTCGTGGCCTGCGCAAACACCGGAAAGGCGAGCATCTGCCTGACCTCGTTCGCGTCCAGGATTGTCTCGGACAGCCTGGGAAGCTTGAACTCGGGCTTGACGACCTCGGGGCACGTCTCCTTGAGCTCCTGCTGGAGGGTGCCGATGAGGGCATCGTGGGACTTGACCTTAGCTTCGAGCTCTGCGAGGTGCTCTTGCGCAGCCGCAAGCACCTTCTGCTGGCTCTCCACGTCGGCCTGCAGTTTCTGCTTCTTCTTGACTGCGTCCTGCAGCTTGTGACCGAGCGTGGTGTGGCGCGCAAGCTGCGGCTTGGCGGCATTACGTGCTTGCCGGGCCGCCTTAAGTGCTGCGTCGGCCTGAGCACGGGCCGGCACATCGGCACCGAGGCCGGACTTGACGAAGTGGGCGACGACTCCCTCCCAGCGCTCGACCTCCAGGTCCAGGGGATCCGGTGGCACGACGTTGCCGTCGCTCGTCTGCTTACCGTGCTGCTTTTCCAAAGCGGTGAACTTGCGCTTGAGCTCCGCCAGCTCGCGCTTAGTCGCAGAGTCTCCACCCCCGCCGGCCGATGATGGAGGACCACTGTTCCAAGCACTCCCCGCACGGCGAGGTGGACGGCCAGCACCAGCACGGTCAGCGGGAGCCGGATCGCCTGACACGTACTACTTGGCCGCCTGGCGCGCTTTGTCGACGATGGTTTGCGGTGCGGAGCGGCCGCAGCGGCAGCGCACGCGGCATGCATGGTTGGCGGACGCCCCGCAGGCTGGGCAGCCCCAGAAGGGGCGCTTCGGGCCTGGCAAGACATCGCGATCACGTAGGGCCATCTACACTCACAGGACAAAACTGAGTGCTGGCCGCAAAGGGCGAAAGTGAACGTTTGAAAAGGCTCGCTGGCGCGGAGCCCCTCTTGAGCCAAAATGGCTACGGCAGGAGGAGGAGGAGGAGGCAGGAGGAGAAGGAGGGCTGAGGGCGGAGGGCGGAGGGCGGAGGGCGGAGGAGGAGGAGGAGGATGCTGATGCTGGTGATGATGATGATGATGATGATGATGATGATGATGATGATGATGCTGGTGATCGGGCCTGGCAAGACATCGCGATCACGTAGGGCCATCTACACTCACAGGACAAAACTGAGTGCTGGCCGCAAAGGGCGAAAGTGAACGTTTGAAAAGGCTCGCTGGCGCGGAGCCCCTCTTGAGCCAAAATGGCTACGGCAGGAGGAGGAGGAGGAGGCAGGAGGAGAAGGAGGGCTGAGGGCGGAGGGCGGAGGGCGGAGGGCGGAGGAGGAGGAGGAGGATGCTGATGCTGGTGATGATGATGATGATGATGATGATGATGATGATGATGATGATGCTGGTGATGATGATGATGATGATGCTGATGATGATGATGAGGATCATGATTATGATGCTGATGCTGATGCTGATGCTGAGATGATGATGGTGATGGATGATGATGATGATGATGATGATGGTGATGATGTGATGATGATGAGATGATGATGATGATGATGAGGGTGATGGTGGTGATGCGGTATGAGCAGGAGGAGGAGGAGGGGATGCTGGACGGTGATGATGATGATGAGGATGATTACGCTGATGCTGGCACTGTGGCTGATGATGATGTCGACGATGATGATGATGATGATGCTGATGCTGTGGATGCTGATGTGATGCTGCTGATGATGATGCTGGTGAGATGATCATGTGCTGCTGCTGATGATGATGATGATGATGAATTATGGTGCTGATGTGATGCTGATGATGATGACGATGATGGATGATGATGAATATGATGATGATGGTGGTGGTGATGCTGATTGCTGATGTGATGATGATGGTACTGATGATGATGAATGTGATGATGTGATGATGATGATGATGTATGATGATGATGATGATGATGATGATGATGATGATGATGCTGATGCTGATGATGATGATGGATGATGATGATGATGGATGATGATGATGATGTGGTGCTGATGCTGATGCAGGCTGATGCTGATGATGATGATTATGATGATGATGATTGATGATGATGATGGATGATGATGATGATGATGATGATGATGATGATGAGATGATGATGATGATGATGATGATGATGATGTGATGATGCTGATGATTGATGATGGATGATATGATGATGATGATGATGATGATGCGGATGATGATGATGATGTGATGATGTGGATGAGAGCCATGATGATTGCGGAGGGGGAGAGGAGGAGAAGGAGGAGGGGATAGGAGGAGGAGGGGGAGGAGGAGGAGGAGGAGGAGGAGGACGAGGAGTTGGAGGAGGAGGAGGACGAGGAGGAGGAGGAGGAATAATAATAATAACAATAATAATAAGAAGAAGAAGAATAAGACGAATAATAAGAAGACGACTAATACTAATAATAATAATAAGACGAAGAAGAAGACGAATCAACATAATAATAAGAAGAAGAAGGATACTAATAACAATAATAAGACGAAGAAGAAACATAATAAGAAGAGGAATCATAATAAGAAGAGGAGGAGGAGGAGGAGGAGGAGGAGGAGGAGGAGGAGGAGGAGGAGGCAGGAGGAGAAGAGGGCTGAGGGCGGGGGGCGGAGGAGGAGGAGGAGGAGGAGGAGGAGGAGGAGGATCACGAGGAGGGGGATCACGAGGAGGAGGATCACGAGGAGGAGGGGGACGAAGACAACGACGACGAGGACGAGGACGAGGAGGACGAGGACGAGGACGAGGACGAGGCCGAGGACGAGGACGAGGACGAGTACGAGGACGAGGAGGAGGAGGAGGAGAAGGATGATGAGGAGGAGGAGGAGGAGGAGGAGGAGGACGAGGAAGAGGAGGAGGAGAAGGAGAAGGATAATGTGATGTGGATTTGAGGGAGGTGGCGGGAGATGGGGGCCGTTGTGTCTTTCTCGCGCAGGCGGACCACGAGATGGGCCTCGGGCCAGAGTGGTTGCTGGAGGCGCTGGGCTGCCTCTGGCGGGCTGCGGGGGAGGGTCCGAGCCCATCAGGACCTCCAGGCACTCATATGGAAGAGAACGAGGAGGAGGAGGCGAATGGGAGGAGGCTGAAGGTTGAAGGCCGAAGGTTCCAACAGGACAGGTCCGAAGGGCCGAAGGTTCCGACAGGACAGGTCCGTTGGGCCTGGCCTGGGCCGGCGCGCTTCGACGAACTCCACGGCTCTGCCCCTCGGCCTGTCCAGGCCTCACTGTAGAGCCGTGGCTCAAGCTCTCCCATTCCCTTTCTCCTCCCCTCTCCGCGGGGCGCGCCATGGCGCCCTCCCGCGGCGCCGTGCCTGGCAGATCGCGCGGCCGCGGCTCCCACCCCCTCGGGGCTGCGGCGCCCTGGGCCGTCGGCTCCGCCTGCCGCGGCGCCTGGGCTGTGGTCCCCGCCCTGGCCTCGCCGCCGCCCGCGGCCGAGTGCCACAGCGCGAGGGCTCCGGGAGCTGACGGACCGGCAGGGCCCCTCGGCTGCCTGACTGCGACGGGCCCGCAGGCCGAGAAGCTGCCCGCGGAGGCTGAAGAGATGTTCGAGCGGATCGTCACGGGGGTTGCCGACGACTGGCCCGCCAACCCCGTGAGCGACAACATCGAGGCGCACGCGGACGACGAGCGCTTCACCGAGGCGTGCCAGCCGTACGGCCTGCGCCAGCTGCTGGACATGGGAGCGTCCACGTTCTGTCGCCGTGGCGACGTCATCGCGCACAAGGGCGAGTGCCTGGACCACATCGCCGCCTCCGCGAACACTTTCGGGCTCGGCCGCCACTTGCTGAGGAACATCTCCGAGGCCAAGGGCGGGATCGACAAGGCCTTCCTGGTGGATGCGTTCGCCGACAGCCTCGCGGAGTCCCTCGCGGAGCCGATCCACAGGGAGATCAGGACCACGCCCTGGGTCGCCTCTGAGCCCGGCGGCCCGCCACTTCTCTGTTTCGGCACCCTCGCTCCCAGCAAGGGTGCGAGAGAACTCGCGCTGCTCGTCGCCCGCGCCTGCGGTCCTCCTCACCCTGCTTCGCTTGATCCTCCCGCCTGTCCTGCAACGCCGAGGTGTTCGCCGGCCGCAAGCCCCAGCCTTTCTGAGAATTCGAACCGTACCTGGGTGGACGTGGTAATGACACGGCACCCTCGGTCGTTTTACCTGCAACGCATCTCTTCGCCTTCAACCTCGCCCCCCTCCGCCACGCCCAGCAGCGAGAGTTCAGGGAGGAACCCAGCCGACGATGGGGTGTCGGCTGACATTCAGTCTTCTCTCGCTTTTGTTGCATCGAGCCTCCGGTCCCCTCCCCTCTTCTCCAACCTCGTCCATGTGCTTTGCTGTGCCCCTGCCTGCCTGCCCACGCGCCCCCCAGCACGTCCCCGCTCCCCCGGACGACCCTGGAAGCAGCACGACCGACTCCCCGACGCAAGCGCACGCCCGACGCTCGCCCACAGCACCGCCTGCGACCGCCCAAGCATCGAGCACCATGCCGCCGACGACAGCATCACGCACCAAGGGGCCATCCTGCACAGCAGTATCGGGCTGCACCCTGCTGACAGCCGCGACGGAGTCGAGCACCGCATCGCTATCCAGCAACACCTGAACGAGCAGCACTGGGTCGTGAACACCATGTGCGGCCACTGGGACTTCAAGCGCCACGTTGTCGACCACGACGGAAGCGTTTGCTTCGCAGCCGTCCAGAACCACGGATTTCTTCAGTGGCTCGTCGTCCACCTCGCTGTATTCGAGCACCACATCACCATCCAGCACCACCATGACGACCAGCACCTCGTTGTCAACCGCGACGGAGGCGACCACTGCATCGCTGGCCGCCTTCGCTCTGGAATCGAGCTGCACCACGCTGCCGCCGACGCCTACCAAGACATTGAGCACTGCATTGTATGGCACTGCGGCGTCGTGCCTTTCGGTCTCACCGAGCAGTGCGGAACCCAGCAGCCCCCGGGCGTCGACCTCGACGGCATCGAGCACTACCCGCCCCGCTGCCGCCTCGACGCCGGCGTGTCTTGGACAACTACGGGGACTCAGGGTCAAAACGGCTGGCATCAGCCTCCTTTTCGGGGGATGCCTGCCCATCCTCGGGCCATTCCGTCTGGCGCGTGGGTCTTTCATGCCGCTTCTCGCGAGAGCTTTCCGGGACGCCCGATACGAGAGTTTCGGGGAGCGAGATTGCTTCCGCCATCCTCGGTGCTTGCACCTGCGAGCGGCAGAACTGTCCCGCTCCCCCCACTCCCCCAGGATCTTCCGACGTGTGGCCAGACCTGGGGGGTGAACAGTCGGGGGGCCCCTCCACCTCGCCCCTCCTCCGGGCCCCCTTCCCTCCCCGCCTTTGGGTGGTTCTGGACTCCCGTAGGGCCGTTCCGTTGCCTCCGTCCCTTCAGCCCGCTGGTCCTCCGCCCGCGCTGCGCGCCCTGCCCCTTGGCCGCGCTGCCCCTGCGCCAGCGCGGCCGGCGCGTTCCCCCTTGACTCGCACGAGGATTGCAGAGCTGAGTCTTCGAGGAATCGCCAGCCCCCTCCGACGCAAGGCGGCCACGGGATATCTTTCTCCAGCGCCGGATGGCCTGACGCCGTCTGGCCCCGGAGCTAGATTGCCTGTGGTCGATTTGGTCGGCATTTTGGGGCCGCATTTCGTGACGCACTCCTGCGTCATCGCTATCTCTCCCTCCTCTTCTTCCTCCTCCTCCTCCTCCTCCTCCTCCCCTGCCCCCGCTTGCCCCTCCCAGCCTTGTAATATTTGTCGTGCCCTGTTAGGCCCCGCGCTCTGGGCAGGACCTCTGCAGGACTCCGCGGGCGCCTCGCCCGACCTCGCCGCGCCGCACGCCCTGCAGCCCGCCACCATCAGCCCCGACACGTCCGGCCCCATCGAGCACGGCATCGTGACCTACTGGCGAGACATGCGGACGACCTGGTACCACCCGCTCCATGTCGCGCTCAGCGGGCCATTGGAGGAACACCCCGCGCTCCTCGCAGAGACGGTCCTCATGCTGGAAGACGGTCGCGCCCGCACCACCCAACTCCTCCTCATGACCTCCAGCATGCCGGCGTCGCACCTGGACGTCTCGGGCCTTCATCGGCATGGCCTTCGTGGAGACACGGGACAAATCTCTTGTCGATGTTCCGGCCGCCCCGAAGCCCGAGGGGCGTGGAGGGTTGACCCACCAACCTATCCCCCGATGCCCCCCTGTCCCGTCGTGTGGGTGAAAGTTGGGGGAGCCACCACCACCGCCCCCTCCCTCTCTCTCACCCCCAGCCCTTTCGAACAGTGGACGTCCCTTTCTCCAGGCACCCGTTCTCCCCCTGCCCACCCTTGTTCCCCCCTTTTCCGTCCCTCTTGCCGTGGCCCTTCAGGTGTTGCGCCCTCTGCAGGTCCCCTGCAGGACCTCACGAGCGTCGTGGCCGGCGCCTGCCACGTCCACAGCGACCGCTTTGACGACACCCTCGGCGAATCCCACTACTCCGCCCTGCTGTCCGGCACTATCCGCCTCGACGGGGACCACCTCTTCGCGCACAACGCCGAGACCACCGACACGCTGGACACGACGGAGCCGCAGCTGCACGACTCTAGCCGCGTCGCCGACAGCATCACGGACCTCATCGTGCTGGACATCGAGCCTGGTATCGTGACCGACTGGGGGGTAGGGCGGATGTTGTTGCACCACTCGTCCGACCTTGAGCTGTTCGGGGCGTCGGCCGTGCACCCCGTGGCCTTCGATCGCTGGCGTCCCAACCACTCCTGCGGCTTCAACGGGCCCTCCGCCAAGTCACACACCACCATCAGCGTGGTCATCGCCGCCTGCGTGGCCGCCGGCACCGACCCCGACGTGGTCTCCAACGCACGCGTTCTCGCTGGCCCTGGTGCCCGAGTCAACCACAACGCCCGCGAGTACATCGAGAGGCTTTCGGAAGCCCGTGGCACCAGTCCAGCAAGCTCCGCACGAACACATGGGGAAGCATGGGCTTCAAACAGTGCCAATGTGGCCATCGGCGGACGGGCTCTCCAGGCTCATCCGCCCACGCGCCTTGTGGGACCCGCCGAACTTTTCTACCTCCACCACGTGCGCAGTAGAGCGGCCTCAGCTTCATCGGCGTGCGGCACGTCTTCGAGCCTCTGCTCGCCTTGCTCATCGGACCCCGTCCAGGAGCTCATCGGTTTGATCCCTGATTCACTCGTCGCTTCGCTTGCCATCGGTTACCAGGTCTTGTCCCAGGCCCTACTCACGCAGGCCCTGCACATCATCTTGGGCCCAGTGCTCTCAACGCCTATTTTCCCACTCATACTTCTCGTGGCGGCAGGCGCCTCGCCTACACCACTGCGCATTTTGTCGTTCGGAGCCGCCGTGCAAGGCCCCCCTACGCAACGTGTTCTGGCGAACGCCTGTTCTGCAGCCATGGCGGCGCAGCTGCACTTTACACGACCAGTCTGCATCACGATAACGCTCTGGGCGACTTGTCTCCTCAGCCCTGTTTGGTATGGCACTCCGCCCTCCTGGATGACAGTTTGCGGGCAAGTCGTCCTGATCGTGCGGGCCGTGCTCACGCCTGCCTTCCCCGCTGAGGCGCCTACCAGCAGGAGCCCCCGCAGGAACCTGCCGGCCACGCTTCTCCCCAGAGCCGCGCCACACGGCGAAGGACAGCAGCCCCTGTATCAACCCCGCGTTTCGGTGCGCAACACGTTCCTCGAGGTTGGCGACGGCGCGGGGGCCCGAGACTCGCCCGGACGCCAACTCCGTCGCAATCGCACGGAGGGCGACGAACCGTTGCTCCGAAAACCAAAGGAGTATCGAAATCCAAGAGGGCGCCGACAGCCAAAGGGGCGCCAAAGACCCAATTGGCGCCGACAACCAAAGAGGGACCGAGAACCAAGGAGTCGCCGAAAAGCACAAGTACGCCGAAAACCAACGGGGCGGCGAAAACCAAAGAAGTAAAGTAGCTTTGAAGCGGGGGGTAGCTTGAAGCTGGGGCCTCCATTTTAGTGAGAAGTGTGTCACGAGCGCGCTCTTTCAGGATTTCCACCTGCAAGAGCGCACCTGTTAGCCCGCGCATACACACGAGAGCTCCTCCTGCGATTTGCTACATGCTACACAGCTCCTGCATCCGATCCCTGAGCCTCTTCCTGAAGCTCTCGATGGGAGCCTAGCCGGACTCCTCGAGCTCCTTACCGCCGCTGTCGCCGTGACGGTGGTGGCCGCCATCCGCTAGCGCCTTGTGCCCGCGATCGTTGCAGCTCTTGCGGGATCGCTGTCCGTGACGACGGGCGTGACCTCCACCACGATCTCCCCAGGCGCTCCGCAGGCCGCATCGGCCCGCTCTGCCTCGGCCTCGGCGCGGTGCTGGTCGCCACTGTCGCCCGCCAGTTTCTCCTGCCCAGTCGGTGGGACCTGAGCGATTATGTCGGACTCTTCGTGCTCCTCGGTGGCCCGGGCCCAACTGAGGCTTGGGCACGTCTGGCCCTCCAGCGCGTCGAGCACCACGTCTATAGCTCCAGTTTGGCGGTGGCTGCTGAGCGAGCTCGTCGCCCTCGCCGTCGCTGTCGCCCCCACCGTCGCCGTCACATAATCTCCTTCTCCCGGAATTATGAAAAAACATTACTAGTACGACGACGACGACGACGACGACGACGACGACGACGACGACGACGACGACGACGACGACGACGACGACGACGACGACGACGACGACGACGACGACGACTACTACTACTACTACTACTACTACTACTACTAGTACTACTACTACTACGACGGCTACGCCTACGATTACTACTACGACTACTACTGCGACCAATACGATTACTACAACAACTACTACTACTACTACTACTACTACTACTCCTGCTGCTGCTACTACTACTACAACTACTACTACTGCTGCTGCTACTACTACTACTACTACTTCTACTACTACTATTACTACTACTGCTACTGCTGCTACTACTACTACTACTACTACGACCACAACTACCATTACTACCAACATTACCACTACTACTACTATTATTACTATTACTCCTACTCCAACTACTACACATAGTAGTAGTAGTAGTACTACTACTACTACTACTACTAGTAGTAGTACTACTACTACTACTACTACTCCTACTACTACCTCTGCTGCTGCTGGTGCTGCTACTACTACTACTACTCGTACTACTACCTCTGCTGCTGCTGGTGCTGCTGCTGCTACTACTACTACCACTGCTACTACTAGTACTAGTACTAGTACTAGTACTACTAGTGCTACTAGTACTAGTGCTACTGCTACTACTACTACTACTACTACTACTACTACGACTACTACGACTACTACTACTGCTACTACTACTACTACTCCTACTACTACCTCTGCTGCTGCTGTGCTGCTGCTGCTACTACTACTACTACCACTACTACTACTACTACTACTACTACTACTACTACCACTACTACTACTCCTACTACTACTACTATGCTACTACTACTTCTACTACTTACTACTTTACTAATACTACTATACCACTACCACACCCACCACCACCACCACCACCACCTTCACACACCACACACCACACCACCACCACCACCACCACACCACCACCACCTACCACCACCACCATACTACTACTACTACTACTACTACTACTACTACTACCACCACCACCACCACCACCACCACCACACCCCACCACCACCACCACCCCCACCCTCCACCACCACCACCACCACCACCACCACCACACCACCACCACACCACTACTATACTACTACTACTACTACGACGACGACGACGACGCCGACGACGACGACGACGACGACGACGACTATTTCTACTACTATACTACTACTACTACTACTACTATACTACTATACGACTACTACTACTACTAACTACTACTACTACTACTACTACTACTTACATACTACTACTATACTACTACTACTACTACTAGTACTACTACTACTACCACCACCACCACTACTACTACTACTACTACTACTACTACTACTACTACTACTACTACTACTACTACTACCGCTACTACTGCTGCTACTGCTGCTACTACTACGGTGACTGCTACCACCACTACTATTACTAGTTATCACCACCAGCCCGTCTAGTGCCCATTCCGGGTGGTCTGGCCTTTCTGGTCGTCCTTGCTCCACTCCTGCGTCCGCAAGGCATTCGAGCTCCCCTTAGCGCCCTTCGTCACCTGGCTCTGCTTCACAAGGATCCCCTATTGTACTGCCTCCCCGGGGCAATCCGCTTCTTGTCCCTGGACTTCTGTTCAGTCTTCTTCCAGGCCTTCTCCGGGTCCGCGCTCATCGAGTCCGCCTGCGCCTTCGCGGTGCACGTCGGCGGATCCTCTTCTCTGAGCTTGGGCTTGCCCTTCGTGGTGCCCATTTTGGCTTTCACGTCCGAGGTCCCGCGCTGCTTCGGGCGGTGCCGGGGTGCGGATGCGCCCGCGCCAAGTGGTCGAGCACGGGCTCAAAGTGGAGCGCGGCGAGCTCGGAGCCTACCGCGTCGCCTGCGCTGCCTCCTACAGCTACCCAGCGGCCTCGGCCGCCATCGGAGGACTGGCACTCTCCGCCTGTTCTCCTCCGTGAGCTCTGGCGCCGCGCACAGGAGTTGCCTCGCCGCTGCGAATGGCGCCCCCCGTCTCCAAGGCCAACTGGTCCTGGTTGAGCGCCGCCTCGCGTGCCTTCTCCACGTTCTTCGCGAGCCGTGGCCAGCACGGGTGTGACCGCCCGCCGGAGCTCCACGAGCACGTGGCCCCTGTCGCGCTGCATGATCAGCTCCTGGAAGCCCTCGCCGCTTGCCTGTGGCGGTGGCGAGCTGGCCGCCCTGCCCCCGCGTGGGCAGAGCCTCCCCGCTGCTTTGCCGTGCGCTCGCCTCCTCTGCCGTGGGGGCAGCAGTTCCGCAGGGCGGCCCGTTGGATGGCTCCGGCGCGCGCGCCGCTCCGACGAATCGCGGGCCGTTGCGCGAGGGAATGCCTCGTGCCAGAGGGGGTTTGACCCCCCCCCCCTGAGCTGCCTCTGGTCATCGTCGCTGCGTCCCCGCCGTGGGCGCTGCTGGCGGCCGCCGGCGCCAGCGCCGAAAGGGGGGGGGGGGGTTGAAACTCCCCTCCCCCCTTGGGAGGGGGGGGGTCGATTCGAGAGGGGGGGGTTGTTGGGGGGGAGGGGAGTCCCACTGGTTTTGATCGACGGCGCTGAGTGTTGGGGGGGGCCCACCCCCTGGTTTGAAACGCGCCGCCGAATGGTTCCAAGGCGAGCGCCCGTGAAATGCGTTCTCTCGAACGGCGCCTGGGCCACCCCGACGCTGCTGGCCCCGGAGGACACGCTGCGCCTGGCCCCGACCGCCGCCGCTCGCACAGGTTCGAGGATCTGGAGGAGGCGGTGCGGCGGGCGCGAGCCAGGAGAGGCCAGATCGCGCTCGAGCTGTTCGCGGGCTCAGGCCGTTTCGCCAATGCCTGGCGACGCTGCCACGTCCTGAAGCACATCGAGATTGTGGAGGTGGACATCAGGCACGGATCCCAATTTGATCTTCTGAATGAGAGCCTGATTCGAAAAATTGGAGGATGGACGCGCGCTGGTCTTTCGCCATCATCTGGCTTGCTCCCCCCTGCTCGTTCTGTTCTGCCCTTCCTTTCTTTTCTCGCCTGTCCGTTCTCGGGTCTTCCCTCTCGGCCTCCCCTCCCTCTCTGACTCCGACCAGCGCGTCGTCAGCACAGCCAATCGTCTCTGCAAACGGGCCCCTAGCCTACTCGACCTGTGCCGCAGACTAAGCGTACCGTGTGTCATGGGGAATCCTCACACCAGCTTCTTCTGGAACGCTCGTGCCTTCGACACCCTGTCGCGATCGAAAGGCATGCAAGCATGTGTCACAGACTACTGCGCCTGGGGCGCTCCCTGGCGCAAGCGCGCGAGACTTCTGTGCTCCCATCTCGACTGTGCCTGCCTCTCAGGAACCTGCTCTGGCCGCGGGATTTGTTCTTTCACTCAGCATAGACACAACCACCCTTGTGGTATCACGTACAGCAAGCTCACAGAGCCGTATCCTTCTCAGCTTTGCTCTGCCTTTGTTCGCTGCCTCGCCGATCGGTACTTCTGTCCGCTCGTTAAACCATTCGGCTAATACTTTAAAGTCCTGCGGCCAGATGGTGCTTCGGTGCAATTTCGGAGAGGTCGAGTCGCCTGGCTTGAGAAAACCTCAAGCTCGGCCTCCTGGTGTTTATCGTGGCTCGGCTGCCGGGCGAACTGCTACAGGAAAGGCGTCTTTGCGCTCTCCCTGGCCCTCGAGAAAAGAGAGCTCACATTGGCAGTGTTTCAGCACGGTGTTGTTAGTTGATGTCGTCGGGGTTGGGCCGTCTTGGGGGTCGCGGCGTCTCATTCCCGCGGCCTTGTTTGCTCAAGCGCCCTCCTTAGTAATTTTTCCCACCCTGCGGATCCGCACGGAGGTTTCGGGAGAGGTCGAGTCGCCTGGCTTGAGAAAACCTCAAGTCCGGCCTCCTGGTGTTTCTCGCGGCCCGGCTGCCGGGCGAACTGCTACAGGAAAGGCGTCTTTGCGCTCTCCCTGGCCCTCGAGAAGAGGGAGTTCACAACCACAAAACAAACCAACAGTGTGTGGGGAGTGTGTCGAAATGAGGGGCGGTGCCGCCATGCGAACGCAGCCACTAGGGTCTCTGGTTGAGCTCCTTATGGGGCCACGAACCGTGTGATGGGAGTGCGTGGGCGGTGCCGCCGTGCGACCGCAGCAATGTGGCCTTCGGCCACGAGCAGTGTGGGGAGTGCGCCGAAATGGGTGCGTTGCCGCCATGCGACTGCAGCCATTGGGGCCTGCGGTGGAGCTCCCCATGGGGCCACGGAACCTGCTGTGGTGTGCCGAACTTGCGGCGGTGCCGCCATGCGAACGCCGCCCATGGGGCCTTCGGTGGAGCTCTTTACGAGGCCACGAACCGTGTGATGGGTGTGCCGAAATGAGAGCGGTGTCGCTTGGTGCCGCCATGCAGACGCAGCCACAGGGGCCTTCGGCGGGGCTCCCCATGGGCCCCCATGGGACCACGAAGCGTGTGATTGGGTGTGCCGAAATGGGGACGGTGCCGCCGTGCGAACTCAGCCACTGAGACCTTCGGTGGAGCTTCCTATGGGGCCGCGAGGCGTGAAAGGTGTGTACAGACATGGGTCCAGTGCCGCTATGCGAACGTAGCCACTGGGGCCTTCGGTTGAGCTACCCATGGGGTCACGAAGCGTGTGAGGGGTGTGCCGACATGGGTGCGCTGCCGCCATGCGAACGCAGCCACTCAGGCCTTCGGTTGGGGTCCTTATGGGGCCACGACGCGTGATAGGGGTGCGCCGAAATGGGCTCGGGTACGCAATGGCGATGACGATGACGATGATGATGGTGATGCTGACGATGGTGGTGGTCATGATGATGATGACCAGGATGCTCATGATGATCAGCATGCTGATGTTCATGGTGAAGGTGAGGATGCAGATGCGGATGATGATACGGATGCTGATGATGACGTTGATGATGACGATGACGATGGTGACGATGTCGTTGTTGGTGATGGTGAGCATGATGATAATGCTGGTGATGATCATGCTGATGGCGATGACGATGACGCTGGCAATGATGATGATGATGATGATGATGATGATGATGCTGATCGTGCTGATGATGCTGCTGACGATGATACTGATGATGCTGATGATGCTGATGATGGCGATGGTGACTATGATGATGTTGATGATGATAATGATGGTGCTGTTGACGGTGATGGTGATTGTGATGGCCATGCCGATGATACTGATACTTTTGGTGGTGGTGATGATGATGACGACGACGCTGATGGTGATGATGATGATGTTGGCAATGATGATGCTACTGCTAGTGATGATTACGATGCTGATGGTGAGGATGCTGCTGATGATGATGACGATGCTGCTAGTGATGATGGTGATGATGAGGATGATGATAATGGTGATGCTGATGGTGATGATGATGATGATGACGAATATGCTGATGCTGCTGCTGGTGGTGGTGGTTGTGATGATGATGTTGCTGCTGATTATGGTGATGGTGGTGATGATGATGCTGGAGATGACGACGATGATGATTATGATGACTATATGATGATTATGATGATGATGCTGCTCACGATGATCATGATGATGCTGATCATGATTTTGTGATGCTGCTGATGCTGATGATGCTGTTGCTGATGCTGATGCTGATGCTGAGGACATGCTGAGGGCAGATGCGCAGGGATGGGATGGGGTAGCACGGAGAGGAGTGGGAGGATGAGTGGAGAGGAGCGGAGACGCGGGGCGTATTCCCTTCAATACGAGGGCCCAACACCACAGGATGGTTCGGGATTGAGCGTTATACATCAGGTGCCAATGCGCTCGCCTCGAGCCCATCGCAGTGGCTTGCAAGTGCGCCGCATGCTATCGAAGCACTCCACGGCGCAGAGTCTAGCGTCCAGAACCCTCCTATTTCCGAGCGATCGCCTGAACGCTGGCCGCTGGTTTTCTCGCCCATCCGCTCGTTCCTCAACTCCTCATCCTTCCATCCTTCCCTCCTCCCCTTCTCCTCGCACGTGTCTGCCCCTTGCCTCTCCTACTCCCCTATCGTCTCCCCCCTCCCAGAGGGGGGGTGGGGGCCCAGGTGGTTGCGAGAGCTGGGCTTGGAGCGAGAAGAGCCGCTCGTCGACGAGTGCCTCGAG